ATTTGTCTGTAAAATTTCAGGTCAAACGGATAAATATTCACGAAATGATGCCAAATTTTGATGAAGCGTTTTCGTATCATTCTTTATTCTTTTGTACGTTTCAATACGAAGCATATTAATAAACCATTTTTTCTTCAAAGTAAACATACGAAACGCGAATAATGAAGTTGGTGCAGATGAGTTTCGTGGATTTGCCTGTAAAATTTCACGTCAAACAGACAAATATTCGCGAAATGATGCCAAATTTTGATGAAGCGTTTTCGTATGAGCTTTGCAGATTAAAATGTTCGTGTAACCGTAAACGTCAAATATCTCAAATTTTTATTAGTAAAAGAACAAAATTGGTTCTATTAAACTAGCATTATTTTCGTCCGTTCTAAAACTTTTATTAATAACATAAGAGCGATTATCATAATAAAATTTTGCACAAAATATGTTTTTATTCTACCAGAAATTTTGCCGGTATTTTTTCGGAAAAAAAGATCGTCCGGAGTTTGCTTTCCGATTTTGAATTTGATTGGCTATATTATTTAAAATTAAACAGATGTGATAAAGGAATGTGATAAATACGTAAAAGGGATGTGATATGAAAAAAAAAGATCGTCCGGAGTTTGCTTTTCAAACGGTTCCATTAATTAAATTTTTTGGAACCGTGCTCTAATTGGCTGTACTAATTAAAATTCGAAGATATCACACAAAATTCAGCCAATCAAAGCACGGTTCCAAAAGTGGTTCCAGTGGCGATCTTTACAGATTTTTGACCACTCACATGAGTGTCACTATATCGATAACCACATTTTTAGATCGCTACTAATTAAATTTAGTGTAAATTTTGGTACCACCTTAATGACCATCATGCTGATGGTCTCACCGGAGTTTTGATTTTTAAAAACGGTTCCATTCCACTAAAATTTTAAATAAAGTTTTTTGACATTATAATAGACGTATAGATGTATTTATTTTTATAATATATTGGTTCCAGGTTCCAGAGCTTAAGGTAAAAGTGGAAAGTACAAATAAACGGAAAAACTTTATTCTGAAGTACAAATTTTACTTATTAGAATTGCAGGTTTACTCTTGTGAATTCTTTACTATTTTTTTTTTTTCTTTGTTTTTTTTTTCCCCACTTTTTTTCTTTTTCTCCTTTTTCCTGTTCTTTTCTTTTATTTTTATTTTTATTTTCTTATTTTTTCATTTGTTCTTTTTTTTTTGTTTTTTTTTCTATTCTTTTCTTCTCTCTTTTTTTTTTTTTTCTGTTCTTTTCTTTCTTTTTCATTTCTTTTTCCCTTTTCTACTCTTTTACTAAATATTTATTTTATTTATTTAATTAATTTATACAGATGCTTGCGGCAATT